ATGTGGCCTGTTTTCAGTGTATACACCACAGCCATAGTCCTGGGCCTGCGTGTGGTATCTTCACTTAGGATTTCAGCACAGCTTTCTCAGGCTGCTGTCCAGGGACCTGTTAAGACTGGTTTTAATTGCTCTCCAGTTACACCGAGGTTATTGCTAGTTAAATGTGTGTTTATGTATCTATTAGTCTGCACTTTTAAACTGTCCAAGCCTGTTACTTGTTTCAAAATAAATGCTTCAACATTTATTTGCAGCTGCTATAAAAAGCAGATGACAATTACAGCAGACTATTGAATTACACAACAGTTACTCAACAACAATTGAGCAAATGTTGGAAAGTGATGAACCTTACTGAGGTTATTTCTGGGGCAGACAGTGCCTGTAGCTTCAGTACCTGTGCTGCTGCAGACCTGTTATGTTTAGGATGAAAACTCCACCCTAAATATTAATACAAGATCTAATGTGAAATGTTTCTAAAACAAATAATGAGACCTGACTTCAGCCAGGCGATGGAACACTTCCTCGCTGCTGTCAGGATCTGTGGGGTCAATGTGCTGCTCAGTTCACCTGCAGCTGTTTCCTGAGGGAGATCCTAAACTGGAATTAAACCTGAGTGTCTGAGGGTTGCACCGTGTTCCCCCCGGGGAAGCCTTCAGCAGCCTCCACGCATCTGTTCCACACTGCTGGAACCTCATGTTGTGCTTCTGCAACTCATTTACCTGTGTATGAGGGGCAGGAGTGGTCCAGCACTGCTGAGCCACGTGCCAGCTCGTGGCATCGCTGCAGCTCTTGGCTTTCGCTGTACTGGCAGGTCCTGGTCAAATTTACTACGGCCGTGAGTGACCGTGCCATGGAGAAGTGCTCCGTGTCCATCCAAGGCTGTGGCTGCCCACTGAGTGGCTGGCAACATTGACTTGTAAATCGAGCAGCAATAGATGGATGAGCCATTGGAAGCTGATACAGAAACCCCTCGGTAGATTGGAGGTGGCTCCGCAGCGGAGCTGCAGGTGGGACAGCCCGAGCACAGGGCAAACCTGCCTGGGGTGGTCCCAGAGTCAGGAGTAATCCTGCTCTTCTGGGGCAGCCTGAAGTAAACACAAGTGCTCAAGAGCTGCAGAGACAGAAATGTGAACCAGTGACCACAAATCCCCAATTTATAGAATGATTTGGGTTGGAAGGGACCTTAAAGATCCATTCAGTGAGAAGGAATGGCCTCTCATCCTTGTCTTCTGCTGCTGCCCTCCATCAACACCTTGTTTTGCTCTAGCTGTCCTCCATTTAGCTGTTCAGGCTCCCTCTTTGAGCAGACAGAGCTTTGTGGTGTCCTAGTCCGTGTCCCAGCCCCTCTGAGTACAGGCAGTAGTAAATTAACTCTTGGTGCAGCAGCTGACTGACCTCAGACGTGAACTGTTTGATCCTGTTGATCATAACCCTGCTGTGCTCACCAGAGCTGTTTGACAGCTTGTTTGGGATTGATGTTTTGGCAGGAGCTGTCAAATCTTTCTTTGCTTCCCGCAGTTGACTCCTTGGTAGATACTCATTAGGTTTGGACTCTGGAAATGATGGTTTGTGGTCTCAGCAAACACTTGACGTGGTGCTGAAGAGCAGAGACTTCGGGCATGGAGGTGATCTAACCTTGCTATCGTTTTCCATAGGTATTTGGCAAAGAATTCCTCTGCTCTGTTCAGTGCCAGTGACTATGAAGTGGCTCCTCCCGAGTACCACCGGAAAGCCGTATAATGCCGCAGCGACACCCGGCTCCCTGTCGCTGCCACTTCCACATCTCCCTCTTCACCCTCCTGTTGCACAAATTATGTAGACGTCAAGTGAATAAAGTTGTGTGTGTAAAATGGAGCTGGCCTGTGTAGGGTCCCAGGACCTCTCGTCCCGAAGCTGGGAGTTAACGGGAGCTCTCTGGTGTTCCTGGCTCGCTGCTGGTGTTTGCCTCCGTGGAACATACAAAGGATGCGTTGTGAAACTCATGGTGTGAGCTCTGCTGTGCTCGTAGGTCTGTGCTGACGTGAAGATTTGCCTCACTAACCCAGGCTCAGACCCGTGGGGATTTCACCACCCTCATCACCCGGTGCTGGTGCTATGGATTCATCTGACTTCAAACCCATTTACTTTCTCAGTGTTGGAAGTGAAATGTTTGGTCCATAAACGTGTGCTTTAATTTAGGTAGTTGAAGGACTGTGACTTTTTATATTCTAACAGTAGGAAAATGCATTTTCATTGTAGTGTCTTGGAAATGTTGGTCTTTCACAGAAGCTGTTTTACAAACCTTCAAATAAACTTTTTTAATTTCAGATCTTGGACAGTTGTATTTGCATCACTTGGTGCCTTCTGGCAGCGACCATCGAGCGTGATCCATGTGTTGAGCGTGGCACGAAGCTCTGCAGTGCTAACCTGGAGATGCTCTTCTAATGCAAAGGAGCAGTAGCTGAAGCCACACACTCGGCTCCAGTGGGTTCAGGGGATTCTCTGGGATCTCTCTATAGCCCGTAAGCAGTGATCTTCTGTCGGTTACTTTCTCATTCCAACTCCTTTTTATCTGCCTGGTGGCACGTCCTGTGGGAAGCTGGAGGCCTGTGGGGGTCACTGTGACTTGCGTTGCTCACACGGTGCCTGTTCAGTGTTGCTCTGGAGGCTGTTGCCGTTCCCAGTGCTCCTGACTCTTGTCTTGGCAACGCTGCAAGCAGAGCTGTGGCAAAAGGAGGTAAAGAAAAGGCTGTAAGCAACGTGAACTGCTGCTGACACTGAGGGTCTGACACTGGTGTCAGGGTGTGCTAATGCCATGGGCAGATTCGTGTTGCTTTTGGCTTTGAGCATGGTATCAGGCATCTAACCCTCATCCCTCCTCTCGATGCTGCAAGCTCCCTGTGAGCTTACACACCTCTTCTGGGAAGAGGCATTAGCTCCAAGTACAGTATGTGCCTCACCCTACTGTGTACATCTGTCCTGACTGCCTTTTGTTTCTCTTCATTGCTTCCCTGGGTATTTCCTAAGGGAGCCTGGCTCTGCTGGGGCATCCTGAAGTTGGGAACTCGCTATTCCAGCCCTCTATGTGTGGGAGCCATCTCCTGTTCAGGTCTTCTGGCTGCGTCTCCTCCTGCCCTTTGGCCTATTGAGAGATGCCTCTGTATGAGCTCCTTCAGGTCAGGTTTCCAGGGACTCCATCAGTGTGTGAGCTCTGCTGCTCACTTCATTACAGCTAATTCCCCAGCCCCATATGAAGGGAACTCGCAGGACCCAATTCACTACCTCAGCCTGGGTCTCTGGGGCACATCCTTTCCTACCACGATTCTGGATCTGGAGCTCCCCTGGCAGCGGGTTCATCTCCTGTGGGTAACGGGGCACTGAGCTGCCTCTGCCCCTTCTGCCCAGAGCGCAGCGTGGTTTGGGAACAAGGAATGAGGGTTTTGGTCACATCTATTAAAAGCATTGCACGACCTGGCTGTGGTCTGAGCCGCTGCTATTTCTAGACAAAAGCCCAGGCTTTAATCACTGTGTTACTGCAGGAAA